CAGAAAAAGAAAGAGAAAAAGAGAGAGAGAGAGAGAGAGAGAGAGAGAGAGAGAGAGAGAGAGAGAGAGAGAGAGAAAGAGAGAGAGGAGTGGGTGAAAGGAGGAAAGAGAACAATGGGTCAAAAGCACAGAAAGTCATCAAAGACATGAAGAAACTAAGGAGAATCAAACGTCTCAGTAGCTTCTGCCTATTGTTGTTGTTAGTTCTTTAGTATTTAGGGAATCGTTCAAGGAGTTTCTTAACGAAAGCAGAAGCGCGAGCTCCACCTTCCTTGGCAGTTTGCAGGACTTCCTCGTGCGAAACTTCAACAGAGTTGTCAGCATCCAAATTAGCACTGAAAAAAAGAGTTAATAGCTAATCATAAGTTCTGAAGTGCTTGAATTTGAAAAAAAGCAAAATGACTTCCTTCTCAGCTTGAAGAAGTTTTTCAAGTCTTCAAGAAGATGGATCATTGCAGATAAAAAGCTTACATGTTAGTGATGAGGGAGAAGCCTAAAACTTTGATTCCCAATTGTCGGGCAACAGTCACTTCATGGCATGTGGACATTCCCAAAGCATCAGCTCCAACAGTTTTGAAGAGAAGAACTTCGGCAGGAGACTCATATTGTGGACCTCCAGACATAACATAGATTCCTTCATGAAGGGTCAATCCCTCATCCTTAGCCAAACTTTGAGCGAGATTTCTAAAACATCAAATTTCTTTCCAGTGTTTCAACAATCTTCATAAACAATTATCAATCTTATTATTTTTTTTCAAATAAAGTTTGAAGATGATAACGCTTTTATGCCTATCATCACTTTTCACAACTTGATTTATCATTCCACTTTCCTTCTTCCTTCATATTGTCATCACGAGTTCAGATAGGAAGGAGACACGTGGAGAAATTAATAGAACAAGTCAAAAATTCAAATATTTGATAGGAAAATGAAATATTTTCCATGCGGTCAGATAAGGTCTTTCAACACGTCTTATCGCTTCACTCTCCTCATACGCATACTCTTTCATATGATACTGTTCCTGTTCAACTTTCTCTCTCTTTGTGTGTGTATGAGAGAGAGAGAGAGAAGATCTCTCTTTCTTCCTGTAACATTCTACTTTGTGCTTTACTCTTTTAAACAATTAAATTGATTTGTGTAATCATCCTAGTTTTATATCTTTTCTTAATCATTTAATCACCTTTCATTATCAAAATTCTCCTCAGACTAATTTTTTTCTGGAAGATTCAATCGGTAACACTCAGTGCCAAGCCTTTTATGGCACTTTGACATAATCAAAATGTTAAAAATGATTAGATTCTCTCTTGAGATTTACTTCTCTATCTGTCGCTCACCCCCTCTTTTCCTGATTATTAATGAATTGTTAACAGTTTTTATGATCAAGACTACACACTTCTGAAAGTGTCCGTCATGAAAATTGTTTCTCGTGGAATTTTGGATGACAAACATAAAAATGAAAACTCTTTCAATTACCTGAGTGGCTTATCGTAGGCATCATGAACACTAACGAAGCGAGCACCGAATCTTGGATCATTTACTCCAACCAATGGAGAGAATCCAGCTAATCCAGGAAGGAAAATGTGATCCTGCAAGATGAACAAATATGTTGTTTGATGTTTCTATATTGTAAATCTACTTTGATCAACATAAGATCTCCAAACTGGAAGTTGGGGTTGATTCCTCCAGCAGCATTGCTAACGACCAATGTACGAACTCCAAGCAAATGCATTACTCGAACTGGTAGAGTGCACTACAAATATTTTTTTTACTATTTTAAAATCATTTTTGGAAATAATACTGTCGTTCCATTTATAGACTCGAATCAGTCAGAAGATATTTTTATTTCCTTTCAATCAAATACTTCTGCGCATTCGTATTCCTTTCTCTCTTTCTAATTATTAACTGTTCAATTCAAAAAGTGGAACTTACCAGAGCAAGATCCATGGCATGTTCATAAGGATGGAAGCGACCCTGGAGACAAACAACACGACGTCCACTCATGCTTCCAAAAACCAAATTTCCTTTGTGTCCAACGACTTAAACTCAAACTTTAAACTGGTCTTGAGCTACAGACAGTACCGTGAGTAACAGGGAAGCCTGGAATTTTTTCGTATGGGAGAACGAAAGCATCTTCGACTTCATCGGCGATTGGTCCGAGACCGGATCCACAGATGATTCCAATCTGAATAACAGAATAGAAATAAGATCACAATTGTTCTATAAAAACCTCAGCATAACTTTTCTCTTCTCCGACTTGAGATTTGATTGCCTCAACTACAGCGAGGAGGTCATCATAAGAGCGTGGGCTGGAAGGATAAGATTGAGAGTTAGCTAAAATTGGTGTAAGCCTCACTTGACAGTCTTATGTGGAGCTTCAGCAGAAGTCAGATTGTTGTTGTTGATAGTAGCCATTATAAAACTGTAATTAATGTATTATTTGAAAAAAATCAAACAAAAGTCAATAGAATACGAATAATGATCATTGGAGTAAGAGAGAGAGAAAGAGCAGGACAGAGAGAGAGGAAACTACAACTTCAAATGATAATTTGGTAGCACAGTAACTAAAAACATGCGATAAGAGGATGTTTTATTTTGTTAAAAAAACAAATAACTCCTATTTCAACTCTCATTTTCAAATAATAAGTTTGACGTAGCAGCTTTTCAACTATTTTTTTCTTCGGTTATTGGAGAGAGATGGCATAGCACTTTGACAGTTCGTTAGGACCACTTCTTCATATCTCCTTTTAAATTATTTTTAAAAAGAAAATTCCATAATTGATAAAAGTATTTAACGACAATACATAAAACTTTTCAAACGTCAAGAACAAAGAGAAAGGAGAAGCTCGAGAAGCCGCTACCTTCTCTCCTACTAATTAACTTCTGAAAAGGGTGGTGTAGTTCGTAGGTGTTCAGACTCCGCCTTCCAAAATCTTTGGGGGGTCTGTCTGTTATCTTTCTCTCTCCATACATCTCTATCACTTTTCGTCACGTCTGCTTGTCTCTTATTCTTTCTCTCTTTTTTTCTTTATTTGAAAAGTTTGCTAAACTCTCCAAGTATCTCTCTATTTCTCTGCAGCCTGTACTTTCCACATACTCTTTCTTACCACAGAAAACTAAAATCATTATTTTACAGTTTTTTCAATTCTTTCTTTGAAACAAAGATTGCTGACGACATGTTTCTAAACATATTCTTGTGACGTTTAAAACACACGTGTCCCGTGTACACACGTGAAATCAAACTAAATTCATTTTGATTGGAAGCAGTTAGTGTAGCGGTTGTGATAATATCAATATTTAATAAGTGATTAGAAGCATAATATAACATAGGTCAAAACCTCTAATCAAAGATCGCTAGGCGAATGACCAAATATAGTTAATCAAATTGATAATTTTTGCAATGATTACGATATAAGGTAGAGCTGAACCCTTTCTGCACATGATCATAAAAGAGAAAGAGCAGCTGTTGTTTGGAATAAGCATGAAGGAGAAAAAAAAGGTGAGAGAGAGGGAATAGAGAATGATTTTCTTTGAAACTTTTTTAGAAAACGAACTGCAGTTGCGGAAAAGTCACAAAAAAACTTGGAAGTGTACGCAATATGAAACCTTCAGGACAAACAGGTCTTCCTGGAGAATGGTAACTTCTGTATAACTCAACTTCCGAATGGAATTGAGGAGCGAGGAGAGAGAAAGTTAAATATTTCCATTTCTTATTTGAAATGCTCCATAAGGTTGAAAAGTGAAAAAGACTTTGAAGAATCAACAGTAAAATTAAAGAAAAAAAAACTGTGAAGAAGCTAAGAATTAGTTTTTGACATGTCGAAATGACATTTGCTCAAAAGCTTTGGAACATATGAAAAGTCAAATATTTAAAGAAAAACCTTCCAACTACAAAAATATTTCAAAAATAAATAAAAATTAAAACATTTTCTTCGTTGTTGTTTTACAAAATAAATGAGATGACAAGGACAAATGGTTGAAAGACGAACACAGTTGTGAAGATTGTCCACGCCGTGTTGGTCATTGTCTTTGTCACTTGTTTCAATTAAAAAAAGGATAGAAAATGAGATTTTCATCTGAAATTTTTGTAATGAAATGGTTCTTCTGACTGTTGCCATTAAAAGAATTATTAAAAGAGATACATGAGAGAGAGAAAGACGGAGAGAGAGAGAGAAGAAGAGATAGAGCTGATAATGGAGAGCTTGAGATGAGTTAAGATCGGGGACGAAATGGTGAAAACGAACAAGGCCTCGCGCGCATTTCCAACAACATCCGGTAATCTTTAAAAAAAAAATTTCAACATTTTCATGTATTTCACTTCTTATATAGTTCTTTCATACTTCTTATGATGTCATTTCTTCTTATTTCTATTATACTATAGAAGAATCAAAAATTACATAAAGTTGACCTGTTATTACGTCAGTTGTGATCGAATAATAAGGGTTGGAAAACAAATCCTGTGGATGTTCTTCAAATAGTAATGATAAGATGCAACAGATTTCATTTGGAACACGTGCGTTTTCATGATGATAATAGGTCATGTGAGTATTTGGCTAATAAATTGCGTCATATTTGGAAAGTATAAACGTTTTTTCTTTCATTTTCACGAGATCCATTGAAAGGGCTTCCGTATGACTACCCGCCTTCAATCAGTTTCCTTCTTTGAAAATAGAACTTTTCAACAAAAATATTAAAATATGATGGAAATCTTGTTCTCTTCATGATCAGAGTGATGTGAGAGGAAACAAAAAAAAAAGAAAAACGTCCTTGACTTTTCATTAAAACAGTAAATTCGATTATCATTTATCTTATTGTAGAAAATCAAATTAAAAATAAAAAAAAAACTTTTTATAACAATTTAATTGAAATAAAAAAGATGAAACAAGTTTCATATGAGAGATAAGTATGTTTTTTTGAAGTTTCAATAGACAATAGACTTGGCAACATCACAAAAGCAGAAAAAAACTTTTTGCTGAAAGTAAGTTTAGGAAGAGAAGCGGAAGAAGAGAAGAGAAGTAAAATAAGGAAGTGAGAGGAGGAGAGAATTCAGAATCCAAACCTGGAGAGGAAGGTATTGAAGCTTGAAGAGATGGAACTGGTATGAGTTATTCAAAAAAAAAATTCATTTTCACTCATATGGATAGTACGGTTGATGAACAAAGGTATGATCTACCTGGGTATTAGGTAGATGAGAAGGATATGATGTGACTTTCAATTACTTGCTGAGATTGAGAATGATTGAAAAGAGTGAAGAATGGCTTTTACAGTTGGCTGGTCGTTCTTTGTCAAGGGTAGCCAGTGAACTACTGATCATTCGATCAAACGGAAATCATCAATGCTTTTCAAGGATTGAAATAGCCGAATAAAAAAAAAGAATGAAAATGTTGATTGACCTTGCTATGAAATTATATTTTCTGTCATAACTAAATAAATTACATTCAGTCACGTGTTTTGAACTTTTGAAGAAAATGAGACGTTTGAACAAATATTTCTTTCAATAAAAATTATTATCTTGTGTCAAAAATAAAAAACAATTCCAATATTTCTTCAATTACACTGCTGCTCTCTCAGTTTTATTCAAAAAAAAGAAAAGGAGAGAAGTTGAAAAAGAAAAGGTTTAACACACATCAGTTCTTCCCTATAGCTTCATACACAACCGTCCCTTAGGCGTGCGAAATTCAAAATAACCTCAGACGCATGAGTCACGGACAGCATAAGTCCAGTTGACATGAAGTTCACGTAAAGCGAATAATGACGTCGTTTTGCTGACTCATCATGATGAGCGAATAAACAAAAGTGAAACTTTTGAAATTTGCATGGAAAGCAAAAAAACAAAATAAGCTATCTTATCATTAACCGTATCGTCACTTTTGGAAATTATGCTGACTGAATTCTGAATATATCTTATCAGTTTCTACGAACAGCCATTGAAATGATGATTAGATTCAAAAATTAGAATGATAGAAAATGAAATTAATAATTTGAATTGAACGTTTAAAACGATGACTATGTTCTGAAGGGATCAGAGGATGAGTTCCGCTCACGCCTTATAAGGTGATTTCTTATCAGAAAACGGAACAATTTTTTTTGACAAACCCTTTGATTGTCCGTTAATCTGAAAGTTTTTTTGTTTCAGAAAAAAATGAAAGCGCATGATGAATTTGATGCAATTTAAGACAAGAAAAAGAAAAAAAAACTTTCTTTTATCTTCTATTATCTTATTTGGTTTCAGAGTTTGTAGTAACCTATACAGGGTCATGCCAACTGCTTATCAACTAGAAAGGAGGAGAGGAAGGGAAAAGGAAGAAAAAAAAAAGAGTTTAAGCTTTTAATTAGTAAAGCAAAGAATAATTGAGAAGCTGGAAATGATAAACTATTTCATCAGAAACTATAATTATCCCATTAAAGGAAAAAATGTGTTTTGTCTTCGTCAACTTATGAAAAGCATTTGATAGAACGGTTGCACTTTAACTTCGTTCACACAGTCGCATCAGAATATAATCAAAGATGAAGAATGAGATGAAAAGGTGAAATGAAAGTTGATGAAGGACTCTCATTGCGTGTCAGTCAAGAGGTTATGGAGACGGAAAATAGTAAAATAAATTGGTTGTGTGTAATCAGGAAAAAGTCGAATTTGAGATTGATTGACAGGTATGGGAGGTGAAGCTTAAGATTACCTTGTATAGCGTTTAGCTTGTACCATCTTATGACCTCTGATTATGAGTTCATTGAGAGCTGATTTGATAATAATCAAAGAATAATATTAGTTTATTTCGTACTAAAATAATAAATATTAATAAACAAAGAGATTAAGCCCAATGATTGATCAATGATTTGTTTTCATTTACGAGAATTTCAATGATGAGAGAGTATGTGTATGTGAGAGATTAACGATGAGATATAGACAAACAGGCATTTTCATGAAAATATTATTGCCTATAAGGAAATTCTTGTAAAGGTTGAACTCTGTTTTGGAATGTGGTAACACCATGAACTTGCGGACTAACCATCCGTGGAAAGCCTTTAAACATTATAAATCTTCAATCATCACTTAGCATAATTTAGTTCAAACCGTTCATGCTTCCAGGAAATGCATTCATGCCCTGTCCCATCTCTTGACCCATTTGACCCATTTGTCCCATTTGTCCCATTTGTCCCATTGCTCCCATTGGACCCATTTGACCGCTACCGCCCATGAATCCATTCATTCCTTCACCCATCATCTGATCAGAAGAGCAACTGCAATCCATTTGTTGAGCTAACTGAACAAGATTAACTGCAAAAAAAAGTATTTTTAATTATATTAGAAAGAATTACTGACGGAACTGTTCAAAGCCGCTCTTGCCAGTATTACTCCGGTTGATTATTTCATTCTGACGGCGAACTTGTTCCTGAGAAACACATTCTGATTAAGAAGAAAAAAATAAAACAAAAACAACTATGCTTGCAGCCAAGTACAAGTCCCTCAACTAATTGTCTCTGTGTATGACTCTCTCTCTCTCAAGTTTTTCTCATAACTCCTGCTATGTACCATTATAATTTTTTTTTCTTTCCAAAATACTATATAGCTTACTGAACAAAGTTATCTTAGCCATAAATGTTTATTTCTTTGCTGCTTTTGATCCCCTATTTGTATCTCGTTCTCTTTCTCACTCTCTTCGTTGCTCTTCACTTCCTCTCTCTTCCTCTCTTCTCCTTCTACTCATTCATTCTCCTCTCTCTATAGTACTTGCTAGCTTCCAGGTAAGGATATTGTGTTTTCTATTATTGTATCTTCTAATAAAAAAAAGCAAGAAAACTGACATTTCGTCTTCATTTTGTTTTTTTTCTGGTATTCATCACCGATCAAATTTCATATTCGGCATTCGGAGTACTTTCACACCCCACATAAGGTCCTTTCTTCATTGGTAAGAAGAAATGAAAATGAATTTTCTTTCTCCTCTCTCAAATATTTTTTTTTTCCGCTCAAAACAACATTTTCTAAGCTCAATTTCCGATTTAAATAACAAAACTTGTATTTGAAAGAAATAATTTAAGTAAATTCTCTTTAGTAAATGAAATAAGGTATGTGTTCATACCTGTAATTGCTGAATTTGCTGTTGAGCTAGCTGATTTGAATCTGTTGGTGCAGGGCTGTTTGGATTAGGAACTTTCGAATTACATTTACAGTTAAAAGCAAAATTAACTTAAATAATATAATTGTTTATTGTTGTATAATGCCTCGTTTACCTGGCATCATTTGAGTGTTCATGCTGTTACGCATTCCAACACCTCCATTACCCATCATTCCCTTTAATATTCAATTTACTCGATTATGCTAAGTATATATGAACTTTACCTGTCCGAACATGCCTTGTCTTATATAAATGGATGGATCGAATTGCTCACTTACTTGAATTTTACCATTTTCAGCAGCAAAAGCCTAAATTAAAGAATTGTATAGATTCGGATACGAAAATGAGAAAATGCTGAGAAAATCTTCCATGACTCAACACCAATTTCTATTTATAACTCACTTTTGTATTCAGTGAAATCAAAAAAAAGTTGAGAAAAAATATATTTTGGCAAAAGCTAAGCATATCGAAGCGACTTGACAGTTTTGATCTAAATGATGAATATTTTCAAAATCTGAAATGTTCAAATGATGAGGGAGGATATAACGTGAGCGTGACGAAGAGATTTATTCAGCCAACTGACCATTTGGTCATTTAAGGTAAAAATGATGTTTAAGCTGCCCTTAATCCTCCGTATTTCAACATAAATTTTTTGTCCAGAACTGAAACAAGAATTTACTTTTCTCTCTAAAATCTATAAAAAGGATTAATTCTTTCTACAATATCCGTTTAGAGGAGATTTTCCTTTTTTTCCCCGAAATCCATTGAATGCAGACATTTTCCTTTTCTGATGTCCCTAGAGGCTTCTAAATGTTCCGAAGAGATCTCTCCTATCGTAGAGATCGGTGGAAGTAAAAGTTTCCTTGTCTGAAGACATACAATTGGTAGTTGTCTTTGGCTCTCATTCTTTCTCTTCAAACCGCTACAAAGAATGTTCATGCATAGGTTGGAGGTATAGCTGGAAGACAAGCAAACTCGGATGATTTGTCTGATTTTATGAGTTCAGAAATCACCATGAGTGGGAGTCATTATGGATTTCTGAGAACTTTTTCATAAAATAATTGAAGAAATAGTAATTAATGAAGATGCTGGAACCTATCTGTGTTCGCGTTCGTCAATGAAAACAAAGACTATCCCAATACAATCTCCCTCTCGTTTGCCCATATGCGAGAAGCTTTTTCTCATTTGTGATGGCGAGATATACGTGAATGCGAACTTTCTTTTTCCCGTTTATGGCTTCAATTCGATCAAATTTCAAATATTTTCTACATTTATCTTGCAAAATCCTTTTTCTTTCTTCTTCAATCTTTCGTTTTCCTGAGATGCTTCAACAGACAACTTTGAATACATTTTTTCGACACTTTTTATCCTTTCATTCTTCAATTTCAAATATGAATATGTCATGAAATATTCAAATTAAAAACCATTTGTTATAGTAATTTTAAAAGTTCCATATTTAGAAATCGTCATCCTCATCATCATTCTCATCATCTATGTGCTTTTAAATTCTTTGGGATTCTCCCAAACCAAACTTCTCTTCGACTTTAAAGCCAGCTTAAATCAACTTTGGTTGTTTCGTTTGTTTTGCTGTTTGTCTTCTACACTCTCAACAAATTAAAATACTTTCCTGTACTTTCTGCCAGACATTGTATTGCTTCTGAAACACAACAACAAAGCATAATTCTTCTTTTCTACTCTATTCTCCAGAATATTTGTTGACAAACAGTACCTTTTTTTTCTGGAGGCGTTTGGAATGTTCATGATGACGGGGATAAGAATGATATGATAGAGAGAGAGAAAGGGATCTAGAGAGAAAGAAAGAGAAAAAGGAGGAAGAAGAACAACCGCGATCAACGTATGCTGTGGATAAAATGAAATTTCACGTGAGATTTGACGTGATCTCGCAAAATATGCTAATGCGGCGTGGATGGATTATATACGTATAGTACACGTGATATTCAACCAAAAAAACTCTGCTAGTGTGTTAAAATGGAGAAATCAGAGATATACATAGATGGAGATAAAGAAGAAGAGAGACAGTGTGTAGAGGAGAGCTGCAAGATCTTTGTCACATATGCAGCTTCATCTTTCCCAAAGTATTTTGCAGGAGAAAGTTTTAACTTTTTTTTTCTGTAACTCATAGAAAATCTTTCGTTTTCAAATTAACATTCTCCATATGAATAGCTGAAGCTGGAAGTTTATCGATGAAAAGTTGAAGAAAAACGTTTTCTGATTTTATGAAAAAGTGGTTTGACATGTGCATTCACGTCATTTCTTTTGCAAGAGTCTGTCTATTGTGTTTATTTTCTTGTAGAATATGAATCTTTGTTTCCATATATGAAGAATCTTTTCCCCTCTCTCATCAGAAGAATGGAGGGAGAGAGAGAGAGAGAGAGAGAAGAAGAAAGTCGGAAATTTTCTCATTCAATTTTTCTTCAGCTTTTGGTCAGATTCTTGTCCATTTCAACACAAAAGTTTGTTGTTCCGGATTTGATTTTTCGATTTCATAAAGACTTTTGTAACAAAAATACTGCTTCTTCCTCCCACATAAACTTATTTATTTATTTCACTATCTCCTCTCTCTCTTCTATTCTTCTTCCTCCCCCCCCCCTCTCTCTCTCTCTTAGTCTCTTTTATGTTTTGCGTCTCCATAATGCTATTCTGAGATTTTCAACGGCTTCTGATGACCTTTCCTTCGTCACAAACCCCATGACATCCTTCGTCATAGGCTTATCATCCATAAGATGCATTCATTCGTCATTCTTTCCGTCAATTTATTTTCTCGACAAGACTCTTCATCATTTTTTGTTTTAATTTTTTGAAACTTTCCTCTCCCACTCTAGTCCGGCTTGACGGAGAGAATCTAAAACGTGGGCGTTTAAATTCGTCATTTGAACTGACAAAAAAAAATGGTTACAAATGTGTCTGTCCTCTAGCTTGATTGTCTTTACTAAAGGCATCTTCTCATCTTATGAATATTTCGTATTTTTCCATTCAACAGATTAAATTTTATCATAAATGTTCTTAATAATTTCATAAAATAGTCAAAAACATCCATGAATGGTCATAGTTCAAAGAGGATTTAGCCATCTTAATGCCCTACGGCAGTCTCTCTTCTGAGCTTTACGATTAAGCTCATTTAAATCATTTTCTAACTAGAACATTTCTATTTAAAACATCATATTTGTCTTTCTTTTTTTTCTCCAATTAATATACAAAATGAAGAGAAGTGAGATGACGAAAAAAAAAAGAAATAAAAAGATAAAAGAGATTTAAAGTAAATTGAAGTATCTGTACTCTTGCATATAATCAATCCTCTTAACTATACGAGAAAGCTGTTTCACCGTCTATTAATCCACATTTCTTTGAAACGTATCGACTTCTACACTATCGTTCGATAATAAACATATTGCAAAACTATATAAAAAAAAGTGTTTTAATGATGAGAAAGAGAGAGAGGGGGAAAAGAAAGAGAGAGAGAGAGAGAGAGAGGCTTCTTTATTCTTTCGTAATAATTCTGGAGCCCAGGATGAGCTGCCTCCTCCCATTCTTGGGGGCTCAATCTCCTCTTTTGCGGTAGCGGCTTCTCTGTGCAATCCACCTTATAAGCCTTATGAGCGTTTCTCTTTTTTACTCTATTTATAGTTTGACAAAACTGTGATTTAGTTGTAACGAACGTGTTTTTCGCATATCTGCAACATAAAAATGTGCTGAAGACAGATAGAGTGAAGAAACGTTTATAGTTAAACCTGAATGACTTTGTTTATGAATGATGTACTTCTTCTAACAGCTTCAGCGTGCACCCAACGATTCGTTCTAACTCTTTATGTTAAAATATTTTTGACTTCGAACATTTCTTCTGAACTGCGAGAACAATGAAAATATTATTTCTTCCCCTTTCCTGGAAATTCAATGAAGAAGGTGAATACTTAGCATTTGCTCTTTTTCTGTTCTTCAAATCTCTCGCCTTACTTGTCAATTTTTTTAACTATAAAGGAAGAGAGATAGAGAGGTAGTGAAAGAAGAAAGGGAAATGATTCTTAGATAGGAAGTAAAGAAAGATATCGTTCTGTTGAAAAGCGGAGATCATGAAGCTGAGAGTTTACTTTAGCATGAAAGCAAATGAGGATTAGAAGTGTGTCTTCTTTGCTTCAGATGAACCAGACCTTTCTCTCAATCTCATTACTCTTAACGCATTTTCTTCTCATTTTCCAATTTTTTATAGACGTCCAGTAAAAATAAATATTTCTTGCCCCAAAAACATATAGATTAACCATATTTACATAATACTCGCATTTAAATATTCTCGAGAATTTTTCATTTGATCCATTATTCTACATGAATCGGTCATGTTTCTCTGAGCTAGCATATGCGGCATACCGTATATGAGTGTGGATTTCTTACAAATCGTCATTCTCCTATTGTTCTATCCTCACTAAATCTTCATCTTTAAATTCTCTTAGAGAGATTTCCGTTTCTCTCACTCTCTCTCTCGGCCTCTCTTTCCCTCTATCCATCTATGACTACATTTTTTGTCTTTCTATTGATGAAAAATCACTTATTCCCTTCTTAAGCTTAATTCTTATACTCGTTTCTCTCTTCATGCATCTGTGTGCCTTTCAGTTGAAGTTATTTCTTTCCAACTCTCCTCCCTTCTAAGCTGATGATTTTCAAACTTCGAGAGCTCCTTTTAGCTCGTCTTTTCATTCGTAATCTTTCAAAGAGTTAATATTTTGGTTTTGTTCATCTTCCCCTCTCTCCTTTCATAGTTTTTTGTGTGTTCACCTCACTTCTTCAGTTGAGCTCAAAGTTTGTCTGAGAAAAAAAATTTTTTTCTCAACTTTCTTCTCAATAAAACCTTATTGTTAGTCATTATTATAATGGTATTCATTGCTGTTTGTATGAAATTAAATCAGAAAACCAATACCTCTTCATGAATATTTTTAACAATGCGTGAAAAAAAATAATTTCAGCTTCTTATTCACACAAATTATTTTTGTTTCACCGCTTACCGTTATCCTGGACTGAAGTTCCTTCTCAACTTCTCCCTCTCTTCCTCTCTCTCTCTTTATCTCTCTCTCTCTCTCTTCCTCTGTATCTCTCTCTCTCTCTCTCTCTATCTCCCTCTGTCTTTTGCTGAATGTAGAAGCGGATAAAAAATTCTTTGTGTTTTACTCTAAATACGACCGTTCTTCTGGAGCACAAAATGACAAAATGACGTCAATTCGTCTTATCGCTCTCTCTCCTCGACGACTCATTTGCATATTCCGATTAGCCTGAACTGATATCCTAACTATAGTGGAAAGGTTGAAAATAGCATGATAAAGCTTTTAAGTTTTTTGTTTGTGAACAAAATGATCTGGATCACGAAGATTCGCTATATAAATCTCTTCGTCATTATTCTCCTCTTTGTAATCTAAGATAAGAAATGCCAATTCCAGATGTCCATGCGAGTACTTTTTCCGTTCCTTCTCATCGTGGCTGTTGTGTATACTTACGAAGGTGATTCTTATCTATTCCTTAACACTCCTTTTATAAAGAAATTGAAACAATGCTAATTTTCTATTTTAGACTCAATGATTCCTTCACTGAGTCTCCAAACTGCACCTTTGGAAATGCAGCCTGAACAAGCAGACTCTATTCAACAGAGGTAAGCTTTTGTATCAAACTTTTAAATTGAAAAGAGAAAGGATGTTACTTAAGAGGGATGAAAAGGACATATATTTTTGAGATAGAAGGTGAGTGAGAAAAAAATGAAGCAATGAACAGGACAGATAGAAACAAAAAGAGAGAGAGAGAGAGAGAATAGGAAAATAAAACATTATGAATCAGTATCGAAACTGCTCGTATTGACTCACTTCTTCCTGAACTCTAAACTGTTCCCTCTTTTTGTCTTTTATTCCTCTTTCTCTTTCTCTCTCTCTACCTATCTTTCTCTGTTGCGATCAACATAGAATGATTGACAAAAGGAAAGGTTAACAGACGAGTTATGAAAAAAGACAATGAGAGTCGATGAATTCGAAGGACAATAAAGTCAAAGACAATTTTTCAAAAACCAACTGTTTTATGTGAGAGGAACATGACAGATGAAGCACCTGATAAATTGTGTTACATTTTTGTATTGAGAAATTAAGAAAGAAACTTAAAAACTTCTGTTTTCAGACCAATAATGATTCAAACGCGACGATCACGTACGAAGCTCGAGTGTATTCTGAATTTGCGCAGTTTCGAGCTGTGTCGGAATTTATTTTAATTTTTTTTTGCTCCAACAAGTGGCTTCCAGAAGAAAAAAAATAATTGAAAACAAGCAGTTGCAACCAAAGTAGGAAGATGAAAAAAAAAGAATATGAAAAGACAATTGAAGGAAAGCACTTGAGGACCTATCATCACTCTATTTTTCATTCAAAGTATTGAATGCCAATGAATATCCATTGCATTGAATCGGTGATTATAAGCCTCTTCTTCCTTTATCCATCTGAATGTCGAACAGTTTTTTCATCTCTCTCTCTCTCTCTCTATGTGTATATGTCTCTGTCATTCCACTAATTCCATATATGAGCATTTTGATGATACTATCCTGTATTTCATGAGCGATTGTTTATTTCCATTTGTGTGATCTCATTTTTTAAAATTATTATTATTTCTTCTCATTTTTATTATTTCTTTTAATATTTTTGAATGAACTATCTAAACAGAATCTCAAACTGGGGAATAAATATGTCTGAAATCATCGTTACACTCACATATCACATTTCATTACAAAAATCTTATAATAATCTCATTAGAAGTTGACAATGCAAATGATAAAAATAAGCTTCAAGCAAACTCATTTTCATACGAATGAAGTCAAATGCTACTTCCTCACTCTCAATCTCTCTTTTTTATGTCCTTTGCATATTTCTCTTGTCTTTTAAATCATCTGTTTGAGCCACTTTGCAATTCTTAACTCTCTCATACACTCTCTATCTCCATCTCTTCAACCTATCTCACACTTTCCCTCTTTATGCTGTATAAAAATATAAAAAATTTATTCATTTGCATATCCATATGAGGCGAATTAAACAGATTGAATATCGGCTTTCTATTCTCTTCTAACCCACCCAATCCTACAACTGACCCTCTGAGGTCGCGTGTGTCGCTTAGTCATCCGAGAGTTAAGACAAACGGGACCCTCATGTCTGTTCTTTTCATGTGTAACCCCATTTGCCTTATATAGCAGTTGCTTCTATGATTTGGACGTCTTTTTACTCTTTTTTTTTCTTTACTTCTCCCATTCTCCTATTGTCCAATCCAATGTTTCTCTCCACAAATCCTATTTTCTTTCGTATGTCCGTTTCTCTCTCTTTCTCTCATTCTCTCTCTTTACTCTTTCCTTTTGTCATTTTTTCTTCTTATTCTACCACGTCTAACGTCTTTAACACCAACTTTTTCTTTCACAAATACAACTAATTTCGATCAGAATAGATTGAAAGACATATTGTGAACTTGAAATGCGTTGGTCAAAAAGAACAAACATTCAACAACAAAAAACATTTTATTATGTTTCAATGCTTTTTCAATATATTATTCTGATCATTCTAAATAGAAGAAAATATAGATTGATAACAGAGCACGCTTTAGATGAATTATGTTTGCTCTATTCGCGATCGATTAACCAGCCCAACCGTTCAATTTTGTGTCCTCACCTCAGCCCCCCCCTTTCTCTCCTGTCAGGTTGTATCTTTTTATATATTTATTCATATAAAACGTTTTTTTCGACATTTTTTTCCTTCATTCAAACTTTATCTGATTCGCTTTACGATTTTCATCTTTTTCGGTATTTTCTGTGAAGAGCAGTAGCCGTGTGGTTACACTTACTCAAACAACTTCTATGCCACACCCACACTTAATTCAAAGATTGCCGACTCATCCCTCCTATCCCGCCTTCTATATATCTTCAGCCAACACCTTTTGCCTGTTTTTTGTTTTTTTCCGTTTTCAGTTCATTTAAAATTTGCTAAAATCTACTGCCTCTCCGGGCTTGATCATCCACGATCATGAGCGGCTGCGCAACAGCGTTCTTTGGCGCCGACCAGCTATCCGGCGAAAACTAGCCTGGTCCTCCTCTAATTCTTTTTCTCTCTTCTCTTTATGTTCTCGTGCGCTGACTCTGTCAATCGCTCTTTTTCTCTTTGAACACTCTTCTGTGCCTCTTCTACCTTGCGGTCAATTCTCACCAACAACGCCCTTTTCACGCATAAATGATTTGCAGCTGCTGCTGCTTTATATGGCTTCTCGAATCCATCCTGACCTTCTGTCTTATTTTCCCAATTTATTATTCATATTTGGATAATAAGTTGCAGTAGGATATATCGAACTGTCTTCTGATCCCATGTGATTGATTCTTCTTTTCCCGTTTTAATTCCATTTTCTTTGTGTATACACAGGTCTAGTTAAAGTTATCAAGGTCATTTTTACCATTTAAGGCAGTCCGAATCTTCTCACCCATCCCGTCACTTATGTCTTTTTCATTGAATTATTAATTTTAACTTAAAATGGATAGCAATACTGTTGCTGTAGTTCCTTCTAAAGGAAATGTTTCAGCCTCTGTTCAGGTGGCGCTCAGGTTAGTCAAAATCTCAGTTTTATCCATTCTGTTTGAACTTTCAGGATAAGACCTCAAGGGAATAGAGAAAAGCTTGAAGGAAGTAGAGTATGTACTTCAGTCATTCCTAATGAACCTCAGGTAATTAATAAAATGCGGTAGATGAATATCTTTTTGTTCTGCCATTTAAGGTCACAATTGGAGGTGATCGATCATTCACGTATGACTTTGTTTATGATCAACCAACAAGGCAACATGTAATTTTTGACACATGCATTCATCGCTTAGTTAGTGGGCTCTTTGAAGGATACAATGCTACAGTTCTTGCTTATGGACAGGTTCTAAACTCAAAATTAATCCACAATGAAGTATCTGTTTTAGACCGGATCAGGAAAAACGTATACGATGGGAACAGCCTTCGATACGGGTCTCATTAAAGAGGAGGAAGTGGGAGTCATTCCAAGAGCGATATCTTTTGTCTTCGAGCAGATTGCACGTTTAAAACGTGAAGCTCAGGAGAATGGTATACTTGAGCCGAGTTTTGACGTTGCTGTTCAGTTTATCGAGGTTTTTATTGCAAATCCATCACTTTTTCAATTAATTTTACAGCTGTACAACGAAGAAGTTATTGATTTGCTGAGTGATGATCGTTCGGCTTCGACAAATGTTAGAATTCATGAAGACAATCGAGGAGAAATTTATCTCCATGGAGTTACTGCTAAACCGGTGCAAGATCTCGATTCCGTAAATACAATAATAGCTGAGACCGAACAATATATCTTTGATAATTCAGACTATGGAGATCTTGAAAAATGGAGCTTTGAATAGAACTGTGGCGTCTACTAACATGAATGAACAGTCCTCTCGTTCTCATGCTATATTCTCGCTACACATAAAACAACAAAGAGTTATTCCTAGCGAGGGCGAAGATATGGGAACTGTTAGTTACTTCATGAAGCTTAACATAACTCCATTACGTTTCAGGGTGCTACTGAAGTCGAAGTAATTTCTGCAAAGTTTCATTTTGTGGATCTAGCTGGATCTGAACGTTTGAAGCGAACAGGTGCTACTGGAGATCGTGCCAAAGAAGGAATCAGTATCAATAGTGGTTTGGTTAGTTACAACATTTGGCTTTCCTATTATCTTTTTTCTTTAGCTAGCATTAGGAAATGTAATCAGCGCCTTGGGCGGCGCAAACGGAAAAGTTGGGCATGTTCCTTACCGAGACTCGAAACTAACAAGATTATTGCAAGATTCACTCGGTGGCAACAGGTAGTTGTGTTTGATAATTTCGTTACTGAAAGAGTTTTCTCAGTCAAACACTCATGATTGCTTGCGTTTCCCCTAGTGATAGTGACTTCGTTGAAACGTTAAACACAATGAAGTATGCTAATCGTGCGAAGAACATCAAGAACAAAGTAAGAATTTGATTCTATTTTTGTTATAGTTTGTTTATTTGAAGGTTGTTGCTAATCAAGATAAGTCTTCTAAGCTTATCGGAGAGCTGCGGGGTAGGATAGCATCTTTGGAAGCAGAGCTGCTTGAGTTCAAACAAGGAAGAAGAGCAGTAGATGCGAACGGTGTAGAAACTCTTAGCGATCAGTACCACGAAAACGTTATGCTTACTGTCAGTTTGATAATTATCACAACAAGACTGAATTTTTCTGTTTTCAGTCAGAAGTCAATCAACTACGTTTTCGGGTTAAAGCTCTTCAAGAAACTAATGAGATACTTCGAGCTAGAAATGTCGAATTAATGGCTGCCAAAGATGCTGTTCTTCTTGCTGGTGCAATAGGGGATGGCACGCAAGGTATAATTAATGACTTTTCATGCAACAAATTCGATTTATCTGTGTTAAGATGTTATGACCGAGTCGGGAGAAAAATTAGATCCTGTGCAAGCTACCATCAGGAATTACTTGGAAGAACTGGAAAAAACACGTTCAGCTCTCTATGAATCGCATGCTACATCTGATCAGTTACGGAAAGAAGTTGCGCGTTGGAAAGCACAGGTGAGAAATAAAAAGTTTTATACCATTTGTATATATAAAATAATTTGCAGGCTTTGGCAGGCGGTACTTCAATAACTGCAACAGCTCTCAGTGCCGATAGTTCGCCATTCTCTCCAAATTCCTTCAGTCAAAAGCAACTGATCGAAGAAGCCAAGGCTGATTTAGAAAAAATGCGAAAACAAAATACAACATCTTCTGCTGTGAACGACTGTAAGTGGTTTTCATCAGGCGTTTATGCTAGTTTAAATCCGCGCGTTCAAAATATGCTAATTGATGACGCTACTCAGAAACAATCATTTGAATCATTTTTTTCTCCACTCGAATAGAAGCGGCTGTGCTTTCCTATTTTTCTTTCAAACTTCAAGAATTTTACTTTTTAGCTACTTCTGATTATGCATCACATGGTGAAACTATGGACGATTGTGAAGATGGTACTAGCAATGATGCGGATGATATAGAATCTGATGAAGATGAAGCTGAAGGAGAAGATATGGTGTTTGAAGAAACTAGAGGTATTCACAATAAAAATGGTGCGAGATTATTTGATGATTTTGAAGAGGGTTGCATGCTTCGAGATAATCTGAACGATTTGCAAACTGAAATAGGAATCAAAGAGAGGTATTCTTTCAAATATAGTTATTTGAAATAATTGTTGATTTTAAGATTAATAAGTGAATTAGAAAGATCTGAACGCCGGTTAGCTGAAGTTCGACTCACTTATGAGAGAAAGTTAACAGAACTCTCTCTGCGAATCAAGCAGACGGAAGCAGAAAGAGATCGAGTACTCTCCGACAGTGTCTCCAAGAAGAGCGACAAAGCTAGTCAAGAGCAAGCTAAGGTATTAATTGCTCATAGTTGTGTATGTATCATTTTCGATTTTTCAGAGAATTCGTGATGAATATGAAAGAAAACTGAGTGACATGAAGAATGAATTCCGTAAGCTGCAAATGGTTGAAAAAGAACATAAACGCATGCAAGCTCGTCAGGAGCGAGAAAGACAAGAGCTAGTTCGATATCAGAACGAACTAAAGGAGTTGAAAAAAGTCAAGGTTCGCCATAAGAAACAAAAGCTTCAGTGAAGTTTCTGCTTCCAGGTTGACTTGATGAAGAAAATAAAAGAAGAAATGAAGAAAGCCCAGCAAGTTTCGATGAGCAACTCTAAACGATTAGCAAAGCTTGATAAAGATGCGAGGTATTGTTTTCATTCATTTTAAAATATTTATTTTACTTTATAGAACAAAAGAAAACAAAATTCGTCTTCTTGAAAGCAAAGACAGACAGCGAGAACAGTATGTCAAACGAACTAACGAGGAGATCAACCGATTGCGCAAAGCTCAAAGAGAACAACAGAAGCAAATTGTTGTGTTTCTTTCAGTTCTTGTTTTATTGTTTTTTTAAAGGCTCGATCCACTGCCACACCAGTTCGTGGGGCCCCTGCTATTCGTCAGCCTGTACGTCAAGTTGGGAAAAAGAATGGGCAGCCTCCACCAGAAATGACCTTTTCGCCCAAACATGCTAAAATTAAATGGAATATGATCGAGAAGAAGGTGAGACATTTGTTCTTTTTGCACCTCCGTAGATGTTTGATCTTCTGAGAGCTCACATTCTGATCAGTGCGGAAGTGATTAAAGAAACAGTTGCGTTTTTTGATGCAATGTATCTTATTCGAGCCTTTGTAAAGTCGTTTTTTTTCCAGTTGGCTCGTTTGGTGATTCAGAAGCAGACTGTTGTTAAAATGGAAGAGGAATTAGCTCGGCTCTTGAAAGAAAGGCATAGTCTTGTTGATGAGATTAGTGATCTTGTGAGTCGTCATTCTCAAATTACAGCCAGGGAATGTTTTTGAATTCAACGGTTTTTTTAAGGAAAAGAAGTTTGCTTCTTGTGGTCAAATATCGGAGCGTGATGATATAATGGAAGAAATTGATGGAGTTCGCCAAAAGCTCTCGTATATCCAAGATCAAATTACGGAGGTTCAGACTTCAATCGTAGACGTGGATGCTACTAAGGTATGTTTTTGTTTATTCGCATGCGGGACACTCATTGAAAATAGTGACTGATTTGAATTTTCGAGAGACAAAAATTGAGGATGTGAGAAGGTATACCACAAAACATGATATGTGTGGGGTAGTCATATGGTTAGGCGTTCGGAATAACATGTGCGTTCAACTTTTCTGATCTGTACGACTTGTTGAATAAGTATGGAGAAATGAGAAAACACGTGAACTGGAATTGTAAATTTCATTTGAACATGTTAATCAACGAGGCATTTGTTCACACGGTAAATTACGCTAAAGAAGTTTAGATGACACATTACCGTACATAAATGAACCGGAATATATAAGTATTGTATATGGCAATAGATCGTTTTGTTTTAAATGCGTATAGATTAATGAGCTGCTTAAAAGTAAGGATCAGGAGCAAAGTATGAATGTTCTATTTATTGGACTTGGTAAGAGTCTAATAACGTAAGGCTTCCATCTTCCAGTAAAGCAATGGTACACTTGTGAGTAATAGCAGTTTCCTTGAATCCATTTATACTTTGCTTCTTTTCGAGAGAAGAGTGATAAAAAGTGAACTTGACATGTAGAGGGATTTAACAGTTAGGTTGCAAATGGTATTTAAAAAACATTGTTTCAAATCTGTTGAGATGAAATCTTCCTTCAGCCAATTGTTAAGGATGGTCTTGTTTTGTCTCCAACAACAAGTACCTGAAATATATTTTTTCATTTGTGTAACTATTGATTCCTAAAAGCTTGGAGGAAATAAACAAGCGAAGATTTCAAGTGGAAAAGATGGCTAGCAGTTGGCAAGCGAAGTGATCGATGTGATTGTTCGACTTTATGCTACATTATGACTGTTGGTGGATTATCTTAGCTTTCGTGAGAGAATGAGCAGCGAAACCGAACAATAACTGTGAGAGCAGTGAAAAGAAGGATTTATTACTGACCTGGGATGGGCTGTCGTCCGTATTTCCGAGTCCGGCGGCGGAAATAGACTTCTTACTGACCCGTGCTCCAATAGTTGAACGACGTTGTGAAAGGTCTGGTAGTGGTTCTGGCTCTGGGGGACTATAAAGCAGAATTTGTTTTTTCTACTAAAGTATATTGTCTATACTTTCTCGCCCTTCTTATTGTCATCACGACAAGAAATGTGAACATAACTGCGCAGACTGCAGCTCCGCCAGAAAAAACTACACGTCTCCATCCGCTTTCATGACTGAAAGCAGCTGACCAAATACAAATTGCTATGCTTATAAGAGATCCCATGATGCAAAGGAACATCTATAAAATAAGTAATATTCTTATAATTAGTGGCTTTTCGTTTTAGTTATTGTCTGTGTTGTTCAGATCATTCTCACCCACTCCTCCCTCTCTTTCGTTTAAAATATGCATGTGAATGAGTGTGTATCGAGTCCTATTCATTCTTATGCACATACGCGGATTGGAATTGTTGACAAGTTGACACTAAAAAGATGGCCAGCACATTCCAGCTTACAATAAATGGAAGTCTTTTGTTCTTCTTTATTCCTATGCTGGGCTCTGCTTCATTTCCGAGCAACTGGTTCACCTACTCCTCTTGTTCAAATGCTGTTCGCACGCTTTTCAAGCTGGCACAGTGATCTATATCTCATTGCTTTATGTGATATTGTTTTTGGGACTTGGTAGTTGAGTACTCATGCGTAAATTTGAAAGCTTTTGTGCTGATTAAACTGCAAGCAAGCCAAAAGACCAGATTGAGTGAACTGCCTTTTCAAATATATTAAGAACCAGAGAATTCTAGCTGGACCCCCCGTTCTTTCAAGTACTGAAGGGCTTGGCGTGAAACATGAGATAGACGGATATTCGACTGTTTTCGTTATGCAGACTGAGGTTGCTTTGGCTACTCACACATCCGTCATTCGAATTTTGCTTTGATACATTAGAGACTTGGTGACAGTACACATCATTTGAGAGGGAGAGAGAAAAGTGAGTAGACGGACCGGCTAAAAAACAAAAACGCACCTGTCCTCCGAAATTCATCCTGGAATGTGACTGCGAGGGTGCCGTCAATATCTGCTTTACTGGTATCTTGCCGTTGTAGCTGTTGTCTCCCGAGAAACTGCCCTATAATAGAACCATGTTAAGAGAACTTTCAAGATTTTCTGTTCTTGTTGATTTCAGTGGAAAGATGTTAGAGCTTGAATCTCAACTAAGTAATTTTCGAGATTCAAATTCAAATCGTTTCCAAATTGATTTTTGAGATATCTATTTCTGAGAACCATTACAAAGCCATATAAATGTTCTTGTACTTTGGAAGAACGAAAGTTCTAGAGATTTGAAGGATTCGTTGTCACAAAAAGGTTATCAGGAATACTCACTAAGTATGGTTATACGAGTTTCTAAAACGCCTGAGGACTGCATGTGCCCTTTCAGCTTAATGGGTTGGTATGGATACAATGAATAAAATTGAGTGAAAGATATGAGAAATGCATGAGTTTGCTATCTCCAATTCATTTGTCTTATTCTAATTTATTTCTGTGATTAACGGACTCACCTTCATTTGTATGCTAGATCTCTTGCGATCTGCGCTAAGGCTGTTAGAGCGTTTGGCTGAATCGGAAGCCATTTTAGGAATGCTAATGAAGAAAGGCGTGCCTCTTCGCGTTTGCTGTTGATGCTGCCGAAACTGGTAGTGAAAATATAAGTGATGAGACTGAAAAAAAGAAAAGTGTCATAAAAGTATTAGCTGGCTCGCCGCCATTGAGCAAAGAGAGCACAATTTGAAAGGTATTACATTCATATAAATATGAAAAGCATTGAAAGAGATTAGCAGCATGCATATATGTTCGCTATTGATTTGGGAATTCTTTTTGTTTGGTAATATAAAAAAATATAATTTATCTTGCTATCAAATGCAGTTGGTAAGCGATGGTGTACCAAGCCTCACGTCTGCTAGAGTAGCTCGAAAGTGGGAGTGGATCAGTTTTGGAGGAAGTAAAGAAAAGTTATCTCAAAGTGCGTTGAGAATGATATTGCTTCTGGTACAAGAAATATTGAAAGATTTATGTATAAATCTCATAATATTTTTATGCGCACATAAGATTGCAATAAGTAAGAAAATGGAAGGGGGATCGAATGCACTAGGCCACAATCTGATAACTCTGCTTTTGAGGGGCGACCAATGAGACTGATGTGAACCAGAACCAAGAAAGAGGCAGAGAAAGAGTGAAAAAAGCTTTTGATTGGAAAAAGCTTCTGTGCCTTATTCCTCCACCCTCACCGGTGTAATGTGTTAAGCTTGAGGGCTGTCTTCCTTCGCACACACATATATACACCACACTGATCACATCACTGATGAAAGTATGAGCATGATAGGTGGAAAAACGGAAAAGAAATAAAAGAATATCACGAGATCACCTTTTTCCGCTCCAAAGCTAAAATCTGATTGAGCTTGCATCAATCTGATGCCGAACAGGCCACAATGAGTTTTTTCCCTCCCACCTCTCACTTCATTATCTCTTCATTTCATATGAACAAAATGAAATGAAATATGAAACTCTACAACACAGTTTTCCATTATTTTTATTGTTTTTGAAGATTTTCGAGAGGAAGAGAAAAGATCTTTTTCATAAAGCTATATTAATCAACAAGGATAAAATATGGAAAAGGGCAAACGTGTGACCGAAGTAGAATATTTTATGCAAAATTTCGAGAAAAATAGTCGTTATCGTATTAGATGATGATAATAATAGGAATAATTTGCGGAAGTAACTTATTGGCAGCAGGTTTCGTCGGCTTGGATTGAAGAGGAGAGCAGAGAAATGGAGACAGGGCTGTGATTATCGAATGAGCTGTCCGCTGCCCTTGGGGGGCTGTCACATGTGCCGGAGCTAGATGTCAACAACCGTCTATATCCACTACTCCTTTGGGATTGTATTCATTTCTATATAATTTCGGTTGTTGTTGTTGGCAAAGTACTTGTGAGCTTTAACATGCAGCTACCTTTTGTGATGTTTTAGCTTTAAAAGGTAGAGAGGAAGAAAAGGAGGATGTTTATACATTTAAGGGTTATCATTTTGCACTTTAACGAATTCTGCTCGCTTGACGTCGGGAAAGATGAAAATAACTCAAGACAAATACAGCTATAAGCTATTGTTAGATTGTTTTTTTCCTGATGTTTAGTTATGAAAAGAATTCAAAAGTCTTCGAAAAAGCGAGAGGGACAGAATTAGGTAGGAGAACGATTCGAAGCTTTGAAAGTGATTACAATGGGTAGAAACGCTTTCGTTGGATACATACAAATGGCATCATTATGTGACTCTAATAATCGGTAAATAGGCCAGTTGAAAGACCGAATAAGTCATTGATCTCTCGGGATTTCTACGCTTTGTGTGTTGAGCCTTTCAACACAGGAACATTGTTTAGATTAGGTAAAGCAAAGTTGTAGCCTAATTTGTGTCAACCGCATAAAGCTTGTTTGGTAAATCCTGGGGCGGTGAGGAATAATGACCGGAGCATACACATGTAACATATATAGATATTTATATGTATATGTATTAGAGTGAAGATAGGGATACGATTGGAAGGGAAAGAAACCAAGAAAGAGTATGACGAGTGGATGAAGGCAAGAAGAATGTACGGGAATAGTGAACATACCCCGGATGAAGAAATGAATGCATGAGAGAGGGAGAGTTGAAAAGAGAAAAAGATTAACAAAGCTGAAGAGAGTACATGTGCTAATAAGGAATACAGAGCTCATCCAATTGTTTCAGGAGAACGGAGACGAAGCTGATGATACTGACAGCAGTAGCATTGAAGCCATTTTGGACCATTGTTCGAATATTGTGGAAGCGAAATATCTCCTGCAACACTTATTCAGCCATAGTTTAGAGCAAGGAGTGTTAGCCGCGAACGTTAAGGCTAATAATCGAGTGAGTTGTTTTTCATATACAAAGTGAAAACAGAAGCAAGCATTGCTTAATACCCTGATTACAAATTCGGAGGGTTCACGAAAGAGGTGGAGAAGAAAGAATGAGCAAAAAGTATACGATGGAGAGAAAGAAGAGATAGAGAGAGGGAATGAGATAAAGAGAATGAGGACATTCGGAAAAAAGAAAATTGGTAGAAAAATATTTGATGAGCTTAAAAGGAATAATATAACTGATGAAAAAGTAATATTTATTCGATTGGCATGGTACTTAAGCTGGTTGTTGAGCATTAAAACTGCTGATACTACTGTTGCTGAATGAAATGCAATTTTTGAGCAAAAAAAGCTGTAAATGTAAACTATTTGTTGGGATGGAGGATGGAGAGGAAGATCTCATCCATAGATGGAAATTGATAGAGAGAGAGAGAGAAGGGGGTGGATGAGTACTTTCTTCGAACATATTATCTGCTTTAAATGCAGTTTAATTTTTTCTTTAACTACCCTCAGTTCAAAGAAAATGGAAAGCATGCGTTTGAACGTTTATTAGAATATTCTAACGATGAGTTCTAAAAATTATTGGTTGCATATGCGGTTGATTCCTTGTTTCTTTTATGTTTAGCGCGAACATTGAAGCTTGTAGTTGTAGAAGGGAGTAGAGATAATGAGGCTGCTTCAATATGGAAGCATAGCCAATTAATTTCTTTGTAATTCATCATAAGGTTGTGTATGTAAGTATGTGTATGTGTGTATGCATGTGCATGTGCATGTGTGTTTATAGCTAAGCAAGCAAAAAAAGATTTTTGTTTTAGAAAATTGGAACTTTTTCGCTCTTGTCTTCTCTTTCTTTTCTGCCATGGCTCAAACAAAATTATGCTGCTGTTAAGATGAAGAGAGGAGAGAAAAACAATAAATTTTTCAAAAAAATTGGCCGCCTTGCTAGACAAAAAAAACTGTCCATTGACCAGTTGGTTGTGGCTCATAGAAAACGATATATATGAATATACGGAATGGAAAAAAAGCATGTATATCTCTCTATCTGTCTTTATATTTCTCTCTCTCGTTTTTCCCTGTGGCGTGTTTTTAAAAGGAATAGAAGATTAACTTCAAAGGAGACTGCCTTTCCTTTCCCTTGGGTACTTTACAAATGCATCTCTCTCTCTCTCTTTCTGTTCCTCTCTCTCTCTCTCTATCTCTCTCTCTCTATCCATCTCTATCCTTTCCTCCCCTTCCTCTCAAAGAACATAGAGAGCCCAATGTCCATTTTGAGCTATGAATCCCTTGTTGAATAAAAAATACGTAAAATTGAAATGGTTGGGAGAGAAGGCAGGGTGCAAGAAAGATGCATGAAAACTTAATAATGTTGAAAATACTCGTAACTAAATATGAATAAGTATGTGTTTGGTATCTGATGGACAGCTTAACAACACATCATTTCATCTGTTTTAATTGTATTTGATTGTTGAAAATCAAAGTACTTGTCGTTTTTCCTGCTCAATCTTTTGCCACATTTTGTACACGACCAAAAGCTGTAGATGCAGCAGCTGCTTGTTAAGTGAACTGTGATGTTGAAATGTTTTCAACTGGTAAGAAGTGAATTGAAAGAAAACGTTGTTGTTACTTTTTTGTTCTCTTTGTAACGAAATGGCTGCATTTGTAAGGCCTAAGGTTGATTTTTCTTCTTTTCGTTTTCTGCCATACAACGATATTGAGATATTTCTGGAGATAACGAGAAGAAAGAGATGAAAGTATAAGAGAGGCAAAATAGAATGAAGCAATGAGAATGAAGCCTTAAGGTTTCTGAGAAGAAGCACGTTTTTCCCCTCTTGCCACTTTCTTTCCATTTCTGTGAATGTTTGCCGATTCTACCAGTTGAGTAACTACATGGCCAAATTCCGACTACGAAAATTGTTTTTGTGCCCTCTCATTTTGTATGAGTTTTGGTGAAAAAACGTTTCTTCTTGATAAAAGCTTTTGGCTTTGGATGTCTTATCCGCAATTTGGAGCAGAGTTTATTCAAAGATGGACTTCCGGATTTGACTGTAAGCGCGATCAGTCATCTTTCTTTCTTTTTTTCTCTCTGTTTGGAGGGTAGGAGGAAAAAGCTTTGACGAAAAAAAAAATGTTGCATCACTCTTTCTCAACTCATTCATTTCTTTGAGTGTGATTTTTGAGTTTTGCACTAAGGTTTATAGTCATATATGAGCTTTTGGGTAGTCCTCAGAATGAGAAAGAGATGGAATTTTTGGATTTAAATTAGTAAAGATTTGCTTTGAACAAGTATGATAAGAGCAACAGAGAAAGAAGGAGGAAATGAGTGATTTTGCAGAATGAATTGTGAGATAGAAGAGCCAATGAACACATAGTGTCAGATCTCGTAATTCTTCCGACTTTCAGGAAGAAAAACGATAAAACAAAGATTTTTGTTGCTCGAAACATGTTATTATTTGAGCTTTAAAATGATGTTAGCACAACCAAAAATCACAGTTAATTTCATTCAGTTTTGGTCATAAGAGTTTGTGAGCGCATGAGAGTGAAGTTATGATATCAAGACTGGATAAAGATCAGTTAGCTTGAACCGTCAGTGGCAAAAGCGAATTTTCGCAAAATCACATTTGTGCTGGGCGTCAAGAAGACAAAAATATAGAAGTTAAACATGTTTTTGACAAATCATGCTGTTTAACTGCATTTTCTGCTTAAGTTAAAGGATAAACCGGGACGTTACAGCGAAATGCAACATTTGAAAGTCTTAAAGGAAATGGGAGTTCGTTGGTCCTCGTCTCGTCCTCATGTATCCCTTTTTGCTATCTGACCCTAAGCATGTTAGTCCCTTTCTCCTGTTAGCATCTTCCTCTCATCCTTTTTCTTCTTCTTTTTTTTCTTCCTTGAAACCACGATGAACAGCTTCTTCGTCAGTTTGAAGTACAAATTGAAGAGTGCGTGTTCAGTTTTGTTGCCTGTGAAAATAAGCGAAATAAATTGGCCAAACATCTTGACAAAACTCGCCAAAACATGCATGGAAAGTTAATTGGCACATGATCAGTCAGAGCGTTCAAAGTATTTAGCATAAGCTTTTATCAACACATAAGTTTGATAATGTTTTCAAATCGTTTGCCTTGCTACAAAAGAGGAAGACAGGAACGCCAAAATAGAAAGAAGAAGTTGAATCTTCTCCTCCTCCTTCTTCTACTTTTTTTTCCAATTTTAATGCAGCTCTCTAGCATTGCTTCCCTAATTTCATTCACATCCTGTCTCTCCATAAACAGTTCATTGAACGAAGGTAGCGTGAATGTATGCGATGAAATTTGCATAAAGATCAATTGGTTATAAATAAACATAAGAAAATGGAATGTGGGCTCTCTCTCTATCTCCCTCTCTCGAATTAGTATGTTAGATCTAGATTAATCCGCTATCAATAATGATTGTATTTTACTATGAGAAGTACATCTATAAATGTAAAAACTTTTTGATATGCTTACAAACATAGTAATAGAGAATTCATAGAAGAAATATTTTTTTATTCGTTCAAACGAAATATATATTTTGGTGCATTCTTTCTGATGAACAAAATATTCGTGTGAGATGGTTTTTAGAAACGTTTTGGGATGAAAAAAGACTTGAAAGAGGAGAGTAAGAAGCATTTTTGAAATAAAAATAATTGGCAATATATGTATCATGAAATCGCAATTATTTTATAGGAACTTGAAGCAAAAGTACAACATTTGGAGCAACAATCTTTCATTAACGAGCAGCTTCTATCAACAGTTATTGAAGACAAAAGCTTAGGTACGTCCATCTATCTATTCTCTACATATACAAGTTACCGAACGGTTGCATTCCATAGAACATCACTTTATCTGACTATTGCTAGTTGATGATAGTTCAAAAAATTTTTGATGAGACAGCTAGAAGTTGCTAATGAAGCAATTTTGTTAATGAGCTAAGGTTTCAAATTTTTTTTTTGGTTGGAAGTCCGATCTAGCTTGTTGCTGCAGTTGTCGGCCTAATAAGATCTTGTGCTTTTTTTCCTGCCCACAAACTGTTGTGAGCACTAAAAGCTTTGCTTTGAGTTCATATTTGCAAGTTCAACAACCACTTGATTATGATGGCAAAGCATAACAGAATGCAATTTTGTAATATTCTTGTATTTATAAGAAATACGAGTAGAAAATATATATTACAAGAATAAATCTTATGAATAATGAGAAGAAAAATGAAATTCTCAAGAGCACTTAGAATGTCAATGAAAATTGAATGAGCAACTAAATGATGTGAGTATTTTCTGTATCAGCTGCTTTTGTTCTCACATTCTCTGACGCTCTCAAGTTATTCTAAAAATAATTGCCGTTATGCTTTGATCTGTTCTAAAGATATCACAGGTGAATCATATGATATCTCATCCTCTCTCTATCTATCTCGCATAGACATGTTATCTCTCTAGTTCACATTCGCTAGAAGCTGGATAGAGTTAAGAACATTTATGCTGTTGTTGATGATAAGCACTAGAGTAGTTCAATATGGATACTGTAATTAACTGATTTATTGAACTCATTTAGCTTCCCATCATCAATTCAATGAAACTTAAAAAGAAGTAAGCAAAGCGATTGATCTACTCAACAAAGAACTGAGTGAGGACCATAGAGCTCTAGTCCGGATGGGGGTGTTACGAGCTCGACGAATACTTGTTTTGCTTCTCCTGTCCAAGCTCCGCCCGATCCTCCCTCTGAAGCATGCTGAACTTGCCTGAGAATTGTAGACATACTGATGTAGAATAGATAGAATTTGAAGAAACAGAGAGATATAAAGATAGTAAAGATGGAGAACGGAAGAGAAGAAGAATAAGAGAAGGTTCTTGTCTCAATGAAATGAGGGGTTAACTGATGAACAGAGAGTATGAGAAAGAGAAGGGATTAGTTGCTTTGTGAGAGTACTTAAAAAGAAGCTTCCTCTCTCTGATTAAGAAAGATTGACTTCTGAACCTTTTATGTTGTCCTACATTGGTTTATGTAGACGTTTTGACATCGTTTTGTGAAAAGAATAGTCAAAGCTTAATTGCAATTTCTTTCAATAGTTCCATTACACGATGACATTCGAAGAGTTTGGGATTGAAAACACGCAATCTTTGAAATGCTTAAATCAATGTCATTGTGCCGTTAGAAAAGAGAGATTAGCTCATTCTTAACTTAAAACTGATCATACACTCGAGCAGCTTCATCTATTCAATTTGATTGTGCTCTTCAAACTCAAAGACATTTCTTGAGCTTTGAAAACGAGAGGGTAGATAACTGTTTATTTTTTTGTTGGCTGCTAGATTTGGGAAATGTATCAGCAATATCAAGCTCTTAGCAAATTAGCATAATAGATCTTATTCGATAATTGTCTTTCGAATGTTTTCTTGAACGATAATAGATGCAAAACAGAAGAAAAAGAGACAGATTATCTAGTTAGCATTCGTTTATCCTAATACAAAACATTCTATTTTGATTTATCAAACTAACTTTGAGCTTCATTCGCTTCAGCTCCGTATATACATTTTCAAATTTTGAATTCTCATGATTGACAACTGTGAACAGCTCAAAGAAGCTGTCAAAAGTAAAGAATATGAAAACAAAAGATGTGTCGATTATGAAGCTGGCAAATGCTTCACAAAACTTAAAACAACAGTTTGAGAGAGCATTTTGAATTATTCAAAAGTATTAGTCTAGACATCAATCGTGCTCATTCTACTTTACATCTGTTCTGCTGCTCACTGACAATGCTCCTATTGCAATTGACAGATAAGAAAAAAAATGGCTAAAAATGTGATGTTAAGCTCAGTCAGTGATTTGAATGGTTGATATAGTTAAGCATAGGAAGGGAGGCCAATAAAGGAATGCAAGTATTGGCAAACGAAGCTTAAGATGTCTTGAGCGAACAATTGAAAGGGAGGACAAGTTGAAAACGACCTGAACTTTAAGTCTGGTGGGATTTGAAAAAAGAAAATGTTCCTTCTTCCTTCTATTCGTTTTTCATCTTTTTTGTCTTCAACCGCCAGGCACCCTCTCTAATTTCAAGATGGGACTTTCTGGAGTTGTTGTTGATGAGAAAAAGCTTGTCCTTATGAAGCATTTTATTGTTTCGCATAACGTATTTTTGTAAAAACAAGTAAGAAAAATGAAAATAAAAGAATATGTCGGGCAGGCATCTTACACAATAGAGAGATCTTCAAATGATTTACTGCATATTATTTGATATCTATAGCCAATTTATGTCGTAAGGGTCTCAAAAAGAAAAACAGAAAAGTATTTTGAACTTATTCCGTTGGCTTCAAAGCGTCCTATCATTGAGCAAAGTGAATTCTTCTGAACAGCCTCTGATAAAATTAAAAGTGGAAGCTGTTAGAGTACTAGAAATTGAGGATAAAAAGTTGTAATTTGAGTAATGAGAGTCGACGGGGGAAAAGTAATCATATGATAACAGGAGGATGTTTTCAAGCATTTTCACGTCCTTTGCAATAACATTTGAGGACAAAGCTTACCTCTTTTACTTGAAAAAAAAATATAATTAAGCTTAAGTGTAGTCTTGTTTATGGACAGAGACAATAATTATATTATTATATTTATTTTTGTATTTCAGCAAGCGATCTCGAATCATTGGAAAATGGCATGCGTCGGAAGAGCCGTTCTCCATCTCTTCAATCTATGCGAGCAGGGAGCACGTCGCCGAGCATCACCGGTTAGTGTCATTCTACAGCCTGGTTCTAGATATAGAAGCTTGATAATTTCCTTTCCGTATATCTATAACAAAAATCTTTTTCTTTTTTTTTTGATATTCAAAAATATTTTTTCTGCTGCTGTTAAAACAGGAAACAAAATATACTTTCATATTTTGCAGATCAGTCTGAGCCAACTCTTCAACTCTATAAAGCCAGAAGACGGACAGCAACCACTGATGAAATGCTCTATCCATCTCCAGACTCTCCTACTTTACCACCTTCAGAAAAGGAAAAACAAACGTTTGAAGAGAAACAAAACCCGGAAGAGGAGAGAAAAGAACGCAAAAGAGTGTGAGTTTTGGCATTCTGAGTTTCATTCATGTGCGAATTCTGAACCGTCTGTATACCGTTTGGGACTTGAAAAAGAAAAAATACGAAAAAAACTTGAAAAAAAAGTAAAGTGAGCATCTTCTCTTCTCTGTCAATAGCATGTCCTTGGTTTATGTCGAGGGAAATGTATACCTTATGCTAACGCAATGTGCACGTTCCTTATTAATATCAACTAATTGAGTAACCCTATGTTTATGTGTACATATGCCACATCCGCTTGAAAAGCATGTGGCCTGTCCGCTTTCTCCGTGGCCGTCTGTTTCGTCCTGTGCATGATACTGTTCTGTGTATACATATATGTCTTGGATGGATTCAATTCCGACAGTACTTGTCCGTTTAGTGATGTTCCTGCTTTTTTACCTCCGTCTGCTTCGGCTACGCATCCGCCATCATTCGCTCGTAATACGCGTTTACGAAGCACATATGGAGGAACGAGCAACTCTGGACGGCCACCAGCGGCTCCATCACGTGGAGGACGTGATGTATCTGCTCAGTCTCGAGGGTAAGCACCACATCAAAACCATCCATGTGCTTTGGTTTTTGTGCCTCTGTTTCAATTATTTTATATATCTATATATGGTGATGGAGTTTGTGTTCAGCTTATCTCGGATGTCCAGTTATTCGCGCTTGGCAGCTGTAGCTGAAACAATCGAAGAGCCATCAACATCCATCGGTGCAGCAGCTTCTGTCACATCATTACCATCGTCGTCATCAACAAAGGAACGTTCTTCAACTCGGGATCAACGATCTGTTTTCGCTCGTCTCATTCCGTCATGGTCACAAGAAGCTAGTCCCAAGACACTCATTAATCGGTTGGCTCCAAATCTAATTTTACGTTAATTTTTAATATGGAAATGTCGTTCTTAATCTATTTTTGTGAGCTGTGATGTAACGTGCGTGTGTGTGTGTGTGTGTGTGTGTGTGTGTGGTGTTAGTAATAGTAATCAGCTTCTAACAAAAGAGAAACAGAAGATCGGTCTCTGAATTAATTTTCACAGTAATTCTAATTTTTTACTCTAATATTGTCAAAAGACATACTGCTTACAACAACAACAACAACAACAACAAGATCATATTAACTTGCCTTTTTGAGTTCTTTATTGCTTCAGTTTTTTTCTTTTCTTAATTTTTTTATTTCACTCGCAATACTCACTGACTGACGGGATGCTTTTGAAGATTTCTAATTACTTTTTCTTTACAATAATTTCCTTTTCTTCTTTCAATCTGCTGTCAGTGTTCATTTAACTTCTGTTTTCTACAGAAAACAAGGAAGAATAGTTTCGGTACGGAATGATTCGTCAACCAGAACTAGAGTTGTTACGAGAACTCATACCTTGGAAGGTCATTCGAAAGCTATCTTAGCTTGTGCAACAACTGAAGATCACTTGCTGACAGGATCAAAGGGTATAATATTGTGCATTGTGGTATTGTTCACGTTGTTTTACCTTCAGATCGAACAGCCAAGTTATGGGATTTATCGACGGGTCAGGAGATTAGGACACTTGGAGTTCATCCGAATTCTGTGCATTCGGTCAAATTTGTACCAAACTCCAACTTGGCATTGTCTATTTCTATGTATCAAGTTAGAGTATGGGATATTCGAACAGACAGTTGCATTCGAGTTCTTCACTCTAGTGGTCAAATCATTGAAGGTTGTGTGTCTCGTATTTCTTCTCTTCATCTCTAAATTTAGGTGATGGTGGTCCCGTCGGATCTCGTCAAAACACAGTTCCTTTCTTGGAAACGGTTATCAATTCGGCCGAAGTGGACCCATATGGGCGATTGTTGTTTACTTCTTTCGCTGGAGATGTCCGCATTTGGAATTTGGAAAAGTGGGCTTCATTTGGTCGTTTAGTCGGAGCATCGCACAGCCCACGGTTAGTTCTTCATTAATTCTTTGTATTCAAATCGAGCTCAAAGAAAAAGGAGAAAATTGTTTTTATTTATTTTTCATTAGAGGAAAAAAAGTGAATTATTTCCAGATCGGAGGTTTCTTGCTTAGCAGTTGCGACGGGCGAAGATGATGCTCCATTTGTGTTTACTGGATCGCGTGACCATTATGTGAAGATGTACGAAGTGAATCCGGCGGGTATGCAAGAGCTCAGAGCTCAAAATTCTAAACTTCCTCTGTTTCTTTAAGGAGAAGGCGTTCATGAAGCTGCTGTCGAATTTTCGCCACCGCATTATGATAATGTAACTTGCACACTAGCCTACAAAGGCAACTTGTTTACAGCTAGCAAAGATTACGTAATTTTATTTGAGAACATGATTTTCGACTTTAAATCTATTCTAGAACATCATGAAGTTCTCATTGACTGACTATAAACGCGATCATCTTGAGTTAAAATCTCATGACGGATACGTGCAAGGAATGTGCATGGTAGGGGTAAGTTCTTTGACGTTTGGTAGAATAATTTTGTTATATCTGTACTTATAGATTAATTCGAATAAGCCATTGCTCGCATCGGTATGTCGGGAAGGAACCATCAAATTTTGGGATGTCGCTAGTTCTCGTCGAATGAAACTAGTGGAAGAAGTCTGTTAATGTCAGTGGAACCTATTCATTTCCGTTCGTTTTGCAGATTAGTAAAGCTCACAGTGGGGGAATAAATGGAATTTGCTGTAATAATTATTTGATGTTCACTGCCTCGAGGTATTTTCACTTATGGAGAATGTGTGTATCAATGAGATCTTTGCAGCGATCAAACTGTTGGTTTCTGGAAAATCAATGCTGACAGTTAGAATTCAAAACAATAACAGATAACTATATGAATTTGAAAAAAAAAGGAGAAAAAGACCAGCAACAGCTTAAGAAGCATAATGTGTGAGTCTAAAAAAAAGTTTTTTTTAACGTGTAATCATCTTGTGAATGCTGGTATATCTATGTATGTTTCAACTGAACCTTAGGTTTGTTTTTATACGATCTTTGCCTGTATTTTCCTAATTGCTTGATCAGCAGAAATATATATAGAAATGTAAAATTAATTAATTTGAAATGTGATATGTCCGTTTGTGATTGAAAGCATGTTATTCCATTGAATCACTTAAATATAAATATAAATATATATATTAACAATTATTTTTTTCAATCTTATTTTACAAAGCTACGTTCTCATATACTATCAAGATCTTTGTCACGCATTATTTGCCATATCATGACAATTCTGACCCGTTTTATATATATTTTGTTTCCTTGTTCCTGACGATCATGTTGAGAGAACGAGTTCGCCGGCACACATTTCACAAACTGTCATCATGTCTCGAGCCCAGCAGTATCGCGGTTTTATCTGCATAGTTACCGGAGTTAAAACTTCTATCTGATTGGTTAGCAATCGACGCCTCAATCTAGCGAAACCGGAGAGTCGCATCTGAAACAGTTATATGTTGATTTGAAGGTTGGTATGGAGGTTATGCAATTTCAGATTTCCACGTGAAAATAAAAACAACATGAAAGCCATTTCATGTTTGAAGAGAGAATGAACGGTTGCATAAAAAGAGAAGAAAATGAGGAAAATAACTAACCGAACGGAAACTAGGATTACGTTGTTCAATTGTTTTGGTTTTGTATCCAATTTCCACGTATTCGTATAAATCATCAGCATTACTATAACATAAACTTATTTCATCGAAAGCTCTTACTGCTTTTCATACCTTATCCGGGATAAAATATTACTTGATAGAGCATAAATTCTGGCGTTGCGTCCGAACTCCTCAGTTTCATGCGAAATGTTTCGAACACAGCTCAGTTCAGTTAAGACATGCTCAACATATCCAAACGTTTGGTTATATTCTATAGAGTTTTCAAAGAAGCGATTTGACTGTTCCGTGTGTTCGACCATACACAGGCATAGATGTTGGGGAATGCGCTTAGTTGAACATGTTGAATGAACAGAAACCTCTCGACTCAACAGTGAGATTCCTCTTGACTGTTCTGTAACAGCAGAAAAGAATCAAGAGAAATATCAAAACGAATCGATTACCTGTTGAGCTTGGTCCAGCATTTAAGAAAGTTCTTATAGTTTCATATATATCAAAATTCGATGTCAACCTGTTAGATTATAGTTTAATGCTTTTTCAATCACTTAGTCCTCCTCACCGCATAGCATTAAGTTCGACATTATAAGAATCCAATACATTTCGAATTCGGAACGTATCCGGAATTTTGATTTGTAGAAATGGATTGCGCGATAAAATAGCATCAGTCATACTGCTTTCCAATCCACTAGAAATATTTTCTTTATCATAAGCTGTCAGGTTGATAAGTCACAAACGTTACTGAGTTCACTCCGACAAGCATAAAAACCATTCGATCATAGAGTGGATGTAGTTTCATCCTTTCCAATGTCAATCTGGATATTGAGAAAGATGAGATTTTTCAATTACCGCCTTCCTCTCACCTGAGAATGGAATCAAAATGTGAAATTTCCATATCGGTCAGAGAAGGAAATTGCGAGAAATAATTAAATGATGAAACACATTTAGAGTTCGGAATGAAAGCGGAACTTAGAAAATTTTTCAAAAACTCTTCATAGGCCGTCTGCAAGTTTAGATTTTAAAAGTCAAATCAAATTAGGATTTCACCAGTCCATTTCTGTTACAAATAATATCTTCCGTCCTGTTCCAATTATAGAATTTGTTGAAGTTGATTTGTGCTTCATCTGAGAATACCGCTGATTGATTGAAGATGAGACTGTCTTCATTAGTTATGGTGGTACATCCCTGTGCTGCAAAAAATACTTTCGGATTCTCTCTTTTTGTTGAAAAGGCTATGCGAGAGTTTCAAAACGAGAATATGAACAAAAGAGATAGACAGGTAGAAGGAAAGAGAACTGAGAGAGAGAGAGAGAGGAAGAGAGGTGAACGTATGGAGAGGATGGAAGTAAGATAGAAAGACAACGATACCTTCGGCGATTTCAATTAAACTTTCTTCGCTTGGCCCATTGATGAGATGCAATAGATTCTCTATTGAATTATCTGATATCTGAAATCGTTCAAACTTCATAGAGGCTATAATTGATACGGGAAGCTGTAAAAAGTTCAGCCAAAAAATTGGAGACAGGTTTATGAAACAAAAGATTTAGTTTCCCATGTTTCGTTTCTGTTCTGAATAGAGAGGAAAGGCAAGAAAGATAGATGAAGACGGAAAATACACACCTGATTGAACATTTTCATGGATATAAAGTTTTCTGTTTTCATGAAATCTGATGTCTTCGGGAGTAACGTAGCGAACTGCAGAGACCCGATAGACGGTAAAGCAATCACAGATATCGAGACCTTGAGAAGAGAAAAAAGATTTCAACAGATGAAAAAAATATTTCCGCACCGGCTCTTCTTCCGGTATATCTTGGCTTATTTCTACTTCAGGGAGAAGCTTCTCCCAATTATGGAAGGTTTTTTCAAACAGCGTCTCATTACCAGATTCGCATCGAACATGAAAAACAGGATCCGGAACAGATATTATTTGCTTCCAATCAAACTGAAACACACGGAATATAGAAGTTTGTGAAGAAATTCATGTCAAAACCTGTGACTGTTGTTGATTTTCTCCATTCAAGTCGATTTTCGTATAAAAGCAAGTCGTTAAATTGAATAAATTAGAGTTTTGATCAACAAAGTCGAGAGTCAAAGTAGAGTTCTCATCCAGTTCAGCTCTCATCAACCAATCATAACTACACATATCAGAACTGTAATCAATAATTACAAAAATAATCAATCAATATAGTAAAAAGTAATATGAAACAATGCACGTACATAATTCGTTTCCTTCCTGTCGCCTGTCTATCTATGACTTCATCAATAACCGGCCATTTGCATGCATTCTCCATTACATGACTATTAGCTTTATTGTTTTGTTGTATAGCATGTTGTGATTGATATTATTCAAACCTGATGGAGCTACACGATATTTCCAGAACTCTAAATCATCTCCTTCATTCGACTCCAGCACTTCTTCTACACCAAGAAAGAGAAATGCAAGTGTGCATACTCCTAGCAGAACAGCAACAATCTGAAACAAAATATTTGGATGATGGAAGCATTTCAATTGAATGTACTTTCACGTAAACTGACGTGAACAGGTTCATTTTTTTTTCTTGGAAAACAATTGAGTTAAGTTAGAAAGTAGAGAGAAAGAACTATGTGAATCGAAGCTGATTGGAAGTGAGGGTCGGATATTGAATGGACAAGAGAGGATAGCGTTAAGAGGACAATGTTAACGTTTGTCTTGAATGAATCTAGTTTTACTTTCGAACTCGAAGAAAATGAAAATCTTTTATAGTAAAGAGTTGAATTACATCAATAAAAACGTCATGAGTGGTCTCGAACAACGAGTGAACTGAAATATAAAAGAACTTACGATAGCTTTTTTGAATAAATCTTTCCATATTCGTAATTCACACATGTCAAGACTCTCAATCTTAATTGTTCGCTAGCGTTGTTCTCCCTCGTATATCTCTAAATGAGTAAACTTATACGAGCCTGTATCATTTGAAATGGGAGTGCGAGCGGAACGTTCCAAAAAAAAAGAAAAAAAAAGAAATTTCTTTCGAGATTAAGCATGTGAAATATAATTTTATATAGCTTAAAACTTTGATACAAACATATAGTTTAAAAGAAACTATGATAAAACATGAATCAAACGCTAGCTGATTGACAATGACTGGCCCATATTTGAAGACAACGGCGACGGGATTAAAAGTCGGTCTGCTTTCCCTTTCTACTTTTCTTTTCTTATCTTATTCTTTTCAGGTCTCCATATCCATTCATTGTTTTATATTTCATTTCTGGCAAATATATTCACTGAAATCAGTTGTGTATAGGTCATGATATCCATTTTTTTGCGCTAGCCAGTAAGCATAAAACATTTTTTTGTGAACAAAGCTTTCTATCTTCGGCCGTTTCAATCTTTCATGATGATATGATGTCAGATTGTTCTATCTCTACTCAATTTCTATTGAATTCATCTCTTCAACTCATGGAAATATTCATATTTAATACATACGATTATCAGATCAAGATGAAAACCACTCATATAGTTACTTTGGCAATTTCTCGTTTTTAATTCGAAGAGGAAGTTCCGAAAAACTGTTCTCAAGAGAGGAAATTACAAATAGGTTATTGAGTTCGCGGCAACAGTTCACATTGACTGTGATCATTTGTTGTCGCTAATAGAATAGAAAGGGGAAAAAAGCGGAAAAGAACAAGATGAAACATTCCTGTTCTCTAACAGGGAACTGTTCTCACCGTGCCCAGATGTATTGCTCTGTACATTCAAGCAAAATAATATCTTACTTGACAGAAGCACCGGAAACTGAAATAAAGAGAACATGATCATTATCTGATTTAGACATTTAAACAATAAAAATATTTTCTACTCAGTTAGGTATTCCTTCTAGAAATTCCGCCTGCCGCATCGAACAGATGGAGTTCCACTTTTCATGATGCGGAAATTCGGAGATAATATAGACATCTCAGCATTTTGATAGTTTCTCTAGTTAAGCCACTGTTTCCTTTTGTTGTGATATGCCATTTATGTTTAAGTGAGTTATATTTTCTCAGAGGGCAAGTTGTACTGACCGTGTAAAACATAGTTTAGAGGTGAGATTTCTGTACTTCGATCCCGGCAGTGGAGCGGGAAATGAATTTTATTCATTCATTCCTATTTGGAATATTTTGGAAGTTAGGTTGATTTCGTTTGTTTGAGAGGAAAAATAAGGAAAGAATTGAATTTTTTTAAATGAGAA